CTTGTTTTGCCTCATCTTACTGGCTGGACCCATGATTGCTATTCGATTGCGCATATTTAAAAAAAAAATCCACTGGATTTAAAACTAGAATTTATTCGAGGAATACGCTTTGGAATTGGCATTTGAAATCGAGTGAATATTGTGGCACTGTTTTAATGAATTACATTAATTAATTAAATTAAGTCCTGAATTAAAGACAAGACAAAATGCATTTTGATAAAAACGATAGTGCCACCGAAAACCCACCTGCTAATGATTCTCTAGAGACAGTAACTCAGGAAGGCACAAAACGGCGAACAGTTGTGGGGCCGTGGAAAAATGGGTAAGTTCATTGTTCGCGTGTTTTCGTTTTGATACTTAAATAATTTGTATTTTTTATAAAATTTCTCATTTAGTTCCGAATTTAACAAAGTATATGAATGGTTATTTGGTGAAAACTATTCGGCAGCAACGAGGCAACAAGCACTTTCTCAGATTCGCATTTGGAATTTGAGACGCAGTACACAATGTCCGGCAGCTGTTTTGGCGACAGCTGTCATTGTCGAAGTTCAGCAAAAAGATCACCCCGAAACAATATATTCCGCAGAAGATTTACAGACTTTGTATGCGAATGCATTTACCCGATTCTTCAATTTCATGTCGTCAATAATGCAAACGCATAACATGCGAACAATGTATCAAACTGCCAAAGAATTGGGTTTGGAATCGTTTGTGGTGGATTTGCGACACATCTGTGCCCACGGTCAGGTATTGCCTCCGTTACAGGTGTTGAGAAACACAGCAGAATATTGCATTGTTTGGTTACACGATTACTACTGGCGATCGCAGCTGGATAGTATGTGTGATGTTGATGCAACACGTATCAGGCGTAAAGACAGAACTGAACTTGATGACAAGGTATCTGCACTTTTTGAACTGTACGATACCGCCTTGGAGGGACATATGAAGGGGGCCACTAATATGAAGACACTGAAACGCCATGTACATGGAAAACGTTTTCACAGCCTAAAGGAATACTATCAGCAAAACAATTTCGAAAAATTGCAAGATGTTTTCGATCACATTGCCAAGGAACTATATGCTTTGGTGAAACGTGATGTTATCATTAAAGATGTATCGACAATCTATATTGGAGCTCTATTACGTATGCGTTATTTTTTCTCTGTGTCCAATATTGATGATTCCGCTAAAGAATTGGAATCTTTAATTACCGTCAATCAAACATTATTCCGCATGTTAGCCATACACGGGTTTTTGGATGATTTATTCTATGCATTAATTGATATTGCTGAAAGTCCAATTGTTGAGGCTAATAAGAGAGCATCGGCAAGCTTCTGGGCGGTGCAAATAATTAAAGGTTTCAAAGCATTTCGCCAATGCAAACAAATGTACAAAGCCGAAATGGATGAGGTATGATTATATTTGAAAACAAAATATTTGTATAGTTAGTAATCATATTTTTCTTTTTGTTTTAGAATACCGCAATTAGAGAGCCATCATTTTCTCTAAATAATTTAACAGAAATATCGGAGGGTACCCGAGAATTGTATATATATAGCGGTGTTGGTATGAAGAAAACCTTACTTTTTGGTGATAATTTCCGACGACCATGGGTGTGGGTATTTGAACGAGATTTCCTGGAAGAACGACTTGAGGCAGCCAACGACTATACCGCACCCATTCTGAAGGGGTAGGTACAATTTGGAATATGTAATTACTGAATTTCTGGAAAGTTTTCTTTAATATTTTTATGCTAAACGTTTTAGTCGTGTTTGGATCATATGGGATCTAAATAATTTTGGACCACAATTCTTGAGTAAATATTCGTATATTCTACAATTATGTTTATAAGCCGAAAATAGTCGGATTATTTTTTGAATATTAAATTTGATACACATTTGAAATGACTAAGGGCGTGTCGGTTTTTTGGGTTGCTCAACACTCAGTATAGCGTAAACAGTGGCTTTATTATTTAGAAAATAATAGTATTTATCCTGATTTCATCGTCATTACAAGGAATCCGTCAGTTATGTTTATCTGAAGCAGATATGTAGTAATATCTCAGTCCACGTTTTGTACAACCACCTATGTATACAGCTCTCAATTTGTTAAACGATTAGCCACAATTTTCAAACCCCATACTGGGAATCCGTATTCCTGGAGAATAAAAATCGTTATCACGGAAAATGTTGAGAATTTTCCTATAGTAAAACATTGAGGATTTTCAGAGGATAAAATACATCCTGTAGCTCAATATTTTACCATAGCCCTCAGGCTCCTGCCCGATTTTAGATATTTCCAACCTCCCATTCAATTTTACCTTTGATCACTGTCGTAATTCCTAAGTGTCATCATTGTAGTTTCTCAAATGATAAAAAACTCTTGACCGAAAAAATTCCCATTAAAATGTCCGACCGAAATCGCCACCTCATGGGGGAGACTATAAATAATCGATATTTAACGACATTTAAATATTCGTTATAATATAATTTAATTTTTATTTACTTCTATTTTTATTTTTTAGCATATTACCACTTATCGTACCGGAATTAAGTGGCACTGAAGTGCAAACTTTTAGCGAATTAATCGATTGCTATTTTAATGCAAATATTGAGGCTGATAATGAAAAATCTAAAAAATCTCCTAAAGAAAATAATGATGTCTACACTGCCGAGGATTTATTAAATAAACTGAAAAATAATGAGATAACAAAAATGGATGTAGAAGTAATAGATGAAGATGTTGGACAAAATTGTGGTAATTTTAAAACCTATGGACTATGGACAGAAGTTGAAGGTACGCAAGAAAAATATACATACACATATATTTTTTTAAATGTCTAAAATTGTTTATTTTGTTTTAATATAGATGATGATTGGAAATCAAGTCCATTGGGACGTGTACCATGGGAATTGTAAAGACAATATAATTTCATGTATACATATATAGATTGTGATGTTAAATATTTTGCATTTGTTTTTATATTAAAATATAAATTATACAAAATAAATTACTTGCGAGTAATTGCATAATGTAACAGAATAGTTTTATTATTTCCTTTATTTATTGATAAAATATCATTTTTTTTTTAATTAAGTACAATATCTCAAAATGGCACTATTCAGTAATTAATAAAACAAAAAAGTATGACAATTTTCTGTTTGGGTATATACATACATATTTATTTTATACTACTTGTTTTCATTAGTATTTTATTCTCCTGCTTAATATTCTCAACATCATCGTTCATACCATTTTCATGTACTGCAGAACTTGAATATCCAGCATTCCACGGCTGTAATGAGGAATCGGCAAATAGTAAGTACAATGTTCCACATGCAATTAGTACACCAGCAGTTATCAGAAAGACATTTCTCCAAGCCTCAAATGTTTGCTAAGAAAAATTAGAAAATAAAAGATATAATGGTATGGGGTTATAACTTATAACTTACTTACATTCTCAAAGGTCACAACACCCACAATATAGGCCGAGATAAAACCAGGCATACTACCAACAGTACCACAGAGACCCGATATTATGCCGGCAAAATTTGGTGCTATATCTACCATCGATGACAGTGGTCCAGATGTTCCAGAACCTTGAAACATAACAGCCAGCGAAATAAATGTTATGGCCAATATGGGATTGGTGCCAAAATATGCCAAGGCAATCATCATCACGGCGTTGAGCAAACAACCTTTAAATGGAAAAATATTTACATTAATTTAGTTGTAATATAATGGAACAGCCGATTTTGTCAAAACATTACGCATCTTAATATACTTTCGAAACCTAGATAAAGGTAGAAATTATCGGTCCACTTCCTTCTCATAAAATGATGTACATTTTAGGAAAAATTAATATTACCCGCAGTACGTTTTTATACCATCTACCATAGTATGGGGGGTATATTAAATTTGTCATTCCGTTTGTAACTCATCGAAATATTCATTTCCGACCCTATAAAGTATATATATTCTTGATCAGGGTAAAATTCTAAGACGATCTAGTCATGTGCGTCCGTCCGTCTGTTATAATCACTCTATCTTCTGAAGGATTTGAGATAGGGTTCTGAAATTTTGCATCGGGTTGTCTCTTGTCTGCAGCAGGTTAAGTTCGAAGATGAGCTATATCGGTCCACGTTTAGGCATAGGTCCCATATAACGGCACCCCTAAATTTTCTGTATTTTGCGGTCAACCGAATTGACTGAAATTTGGTACAATGGGATCAAATTGGGTACTAAATGTCTACACAAAAATTATGAATATAGGTCCACTTTTTCTGGTAGCCCCCATATAACGATACCCCCAATTTTCGGTAATTTGGGGTTCTTAAGCGCGTTTTCAAGCGAATTCGCTGAAATTCGGCACATTGGGTTCTTATTGGGTACCAAATCTTTCCATCAAAAATTATTTAAAATAGATCCACTTTTTCCGGTAGCCGCCATATAACGGATCCCCCAATTTTCGATATTTTGAGGCATTGAGCGTGTTTTTCAACCGAATTCGCTGTAATATTGTATTTTGTAGTCGTATTTGGTAATCAACCAACTTTTTTATATTAAAATAGTTAACTGATTTTTACACGTTTTGGGTTGTCTCCGTATAGTCGAATTCCAACATAGTATGGGGGATGTTCTGTACTCGGAATTATCTATTTATACCCTACAAAGTATGGAATTCTGAGAAGATTTTGTCGAGTTAAATATCGGTTATAATCATTCTACCTTCCGACGATATCGAGATAGTAATCTGGTTGGAGGATACCATATCCATATATCGCCCTGCTAAATGCCTAAATGGCCTAGACCCTATGTAAAAGTACCTACCGATTTAATAATTAGGGTGAAGGAAGGTATTGTGATACAAACTATGCGCTGTAAATTGTAGTATTTGGAGGACACATTCTCCACCCCAAAAATGCGTTTTGGGGTTTTGAGATTTTATGAAAATCACTTCAAGGTGTACTACCTTAAATTATTGTATCGTAAATTATTGTTAAAATTTTTAAAATCCTATATCAAAAATGGGTCTCCTCCACTATAAGGTCAGGAACTTCACTTTTCCAATCAAAACCAGTAAGGAAAGTTCAAAAGTCGGACGGGGCCGACTTTATGATACTCTTCACCACTTTGGCTACATACAAGAGATGTTAATATCTACAAAATACTGCAGATAGAACTGACATAGAATTTAATAGAAATTAAATGTGCTATCTAGATAGATATTTGAACCAATTGAAAAAATCAATGAAAAATTGCATTGTAAACGGCCAGACCCAAAAATCCAATGGTGTACCATTTGTATGAAATTGAGTAAAATTATGTATGGTATATAGTTCTCATAAAAACACATGGACCTAATTGAGCAACCGTTGCATACACCATTTGTGTTTTGTTATCACTCTACATTCAATCTAATACCTTCTGCTAAATTTCGTGTAAATCTAAATCTGAACCGATTTTAACAAAACTTTGCAGACATCCGTCTAGGCTTAATTCAGTACTCTGTGCTGAATTTTGTCCCAATCGGACAAATATTGGGAGTTTGGTGTATCATTCACAAAAATCGGACGAAACTATATATGGGAGCTATATCTAAATTTGAACCAATTTAAACAAAACTTCGCAGACATCAGTCTGGACCTTATTCAGTAGTCTGTGCAAAATTTTGTCTCAATCGGACAAATATTGGGAGCTTGTTGCATTATTCACATAAAATTGGACGAAACTATATATAGGATCTATATCTAAATCTGAACCGATTTTCTTCCAATTTCAATAGGGTTCGTTCTTGGGCCAAATAAGTGAACTGTGCCAAATTTCATCTAAATCGGATCATAAATGCGACCTGTACTTTGTTCACAAAAATACATGGACGTACGGACACACGGACGGATGGGTAAATCGACTCAGAAAGTAATTCTATGCATATTCTTAAAAGGAACCATGGGTCTATCTCGATTCCTTTTGCCTGTTACAAACATATGCACAAAGACATAATATCCTGTACCACATTGTGGTGAAGGGTATAATGATTATAATTTCTGGAGGATAGCAGACCGATTTTAAAAAGTCTTTTTAAATCAATTTGCACATTGATTAGTACCCTAGGAAATAACGATTACTTACATATTGATGTTGCCAATTTTCGAACATTTGTACGACTCACTTTATTATTACGCAATAGAAAATCGGCAAATATTGAAAAAGAATAGGCGAATAACATTCGTAGAATATGTGGGAATCCAGAGAAGACACCAGTCTGAAATGAAATCAATAAATACAATGGAGATATAAAAGAAGGCAATCGATTTGTTAATGGATGTTGTTCGCTAACTCCAAAATACAGAAAAAGAGATCGAAATCCGAAAGAGCAAAGCCCACTGGAAAAGTTATCGAATATAACCATTACAAAAATTTATATATGTTAATACATACCGCTCTTATATCCCAGTTATGAATTATTTTAAAATATGTTGGCGCCTGAGTCATTACGGTAAATATACTCCATGTGCCACCCCATTGTCCAATTACATTCATCCACACGGGTCTTGATGTAAATATGGCGAACCATGGCGTTTTTAGATTATGACTATTTTGTACCGAACTTCCCAGTGATCTTTCAATATAAGCCAATTCTTTGGGACTAATTCGTGGATGTTGGGCCGGTGTATCATAGACTAAATATAACCAGGCAAACCACCATAAGGTGCCCACAATTCCTGTTATGTGAAATACCCAAATCCACGAAAACCAATGTATTACACAGGCAAACAGAGGATATGCCAGCGCTAAGCCTACAGCACTACCAAAATAGGCTGTAATAAATTTACTTCGCTCATTCGGTGGTATCCATTTGCCAGCCATATGGTGCATAGCTGGCCAGGTTAGACCCTAAGAGACAACAAAATTATATAATTAGATAAATGAATTATATGTTTTTATATGTAATTACAGTCAGTAAACCTTGTAAGATCCTTGTTAGAAGGAGTGCCTTAAAGTCCACAAAACAAGCCAAAGGAATTAGAAAGCATATCCAACAGCTAATAACATTTGACAGACCGAACACCAATTTTGTACCATATCTCTTGGCCAATATACCGCCGGGTATTTGTGTTAACCAATATGTCCAGTAAAATGAACCCAAAGCCATAGCCTGTTGATGTTCGTTCCATTGGAATTTTCTTGACCCAGGAGATTCCTGCAAAAAGAGGGTTGTAATTATTTCTGAGAGAGTTTGTTTAAAAACTATTTTTAATTTTTCTTCAGTTTTTGATTGTATGTTTTTTTTTTCGTAATATTAGGTTGACTATAGCTCCATATCTGCATACCATAAGGTGAAGTGTATGTTAAATTGTTCATTCCGTGTGCAACACCTCGCATTAATCTACCTAGACCACATTCTTAATCAGAAAAAAATCTATATGGATTTAGCAATGTCCGCTTGTCTGTCTTTTGAAATCTCGTGAGAGCTCGCAATATTTAAGGTAGGGCTTAGACATTTTTTGACTATTCCTATGGTGTTTTGTATTGAAAAAGGGAATAGATCGGCCCACTCCTCTCCAAAAAGGATATGTTTGGCATTTTTTTTGAAACGAAATGGTTGTAATATGGGTATGGGTTCTAATTGAGCAGTAAATCTTTCTACAAAAAAACATATCAATATAGGTCCATATATCCTTATTGGGAAGTTGGGACTCGTTTTTCAACCAAATTGGAATATTGGTCCACTTTTTAGCCCTCATCTAATCTAATTGACTTTAATTTCAGTTTTTATTCTCATTGTTGTTTCACACCAAAAATTCAAATGTTGTCCATCTCATGGTAGATAGTATAAAAAGTTCCGCCAACTTTTTAACTGTTATTAAACATCTATGCCCTTAATGTATCAACAAAATTAGCCAGTTTATTGTATTGATAAGTTGGTTGGATTGTTTTAACCTGAAGCGGCCCATGGGAAAATAATAATAAGTAGTTTTTTTTTGCTTTATCACGATAAGTGATAACGTCCAAACAATCTGTTTTTTTTCTTACAAACACCTAGCATGTGTCTGTGGTCAATCGATTAAATCTAAAGTAAACAAAAAATATTCCACATAATTTTTGGAAATTGCAACTGATGTTGAATTCTATCACAGAGATAACCGAAGGGAGAATGAATAAGCACATTTTTTTAAATTGATAAGAAAAAATAATAATAACAATTATTATATAATAATTATTATTATTTTTATTAAAAAATAATAAAAAATAAATAATATACAAGTAAAGAAAGCATTAAGTTCTTCCGGGCTGAACTTTGGATACCCTCCACCATAGGAATACTGCAATTGCAATGACAATAAACAATACACCAAATTATCGGTATAATTTTACAAACGGATTTATGTAAATCATTATGTACTTCGTGTACACATTTTTAATGGGGATTTTTCCTAAAATCTGAAAATCCCAAAAACGAGGACTGATACTGATAACGCAAGGTAGAGTATAAAATCCTCAAACTACTGCAATTTAGAGTTCAAAGTTATCTGAGGCTATGCCTAAAGGAGGATTACATATTGAGTACATAGTGTAGGAATTATCGAATTTTTGGGGTTATATTTATATGAGGTCTATGCATAATTAATGAACAATATATGTCAATTTCGAACACAATAATTTTGTTTTGAATCCCAATTCATTCCTTCAGGAGGTATCATTGTATGGGGGAGAAACCAGTAAGGAAATTTCAAAAGTCGGACGGGGGTGGCCGCCCCCCGTGCTTACGTCCCTGACGGGAGCTATATCCAAATCTGAACCGATTTTAACAAACCTTCGCAGATATCATTCCGAACCTAATTCCGCACTCTGTGCAAAATTTTGTCCCATTCGGACAAATATTTGAGTTTTGTGCATCATTCACATAAAATCGGACGAGACTATATTTGGGAGCTATATCTAACCGATTTTAACAAAACTTCGTAGACATCAGTGTGGACTTAAATCAGTACTATGTGCAAAATGTTGTCCCAATAGGACAAATATTGGGAGTTTGGTGCATTATTTACATAAAATCGGACGAAACTATACATTGGAGCTATATCTAAATCTGAACCGATTTTCTCTAATTTCAAAAGGGTTCGTCTTTGGGCCAAATAAGTGAACTGTGCCAAATTTCATCCAAATCGGATCATAAAAAAATACCGAAAATTCGGCTGTGCCCCTATATGGGAGCTACCCGACAAAATTAAGCTATATTTATAATTTTTAGTGGAGAGATTTGGCTGTACTAAATTACAGCCAATTCAGTCGAAAAATACGATCAGAACCCACAAAAATACTGAAAATTAGGGGGTACCTTTTTAGGGGGGTTACCAGAAAAAGTGGACCTATATTTATATTTTTTAATGGAAAAATTTTATACGCAATTAGGAACCAATGTTGCAAATTTCAGCGAATTCGGTTGAAGACGCGCTCAAATACATGCAACGATATATCTTACTTTCAATACCGAACATACAAAAATCATAAATATTTTGATCTCAATCGTGATCACAAAAGAAAACCAGTAAGGAAAGTAGTAAAGTCGGACTGGGCCGACTATATGACACCCTTCACCACTTTGGGTATATTCTACATATGTATCCTAACAGATGACGCGTTTTTTTATATATCTATATCTGAATCGATTTCAGGGAAACTTGCCAGAGACTAATTTATATTACATCAGTACGTTGTGTCAATCGGCCTAGCTATGGACCATTTCACGAAGCTTAGCAAAATCATTGAAGACTTAATTCAGTACCCTATACCAAAATTCGTGCAAATCGAGGGACTTTGGTGCACCAATTACATAAAATCGGACGAATCATTCTCCATCTTATTCATTACTCTATGCCAAATTTCGTGCAAATCAAAAAATTTCCAGGGAATTTAGTGGACTATTTACCTAAAATCGGGCGAAGCTATATACGGGAGCTATATCTAAATCTGAACCGATTTTCGCAAAACTCTTCACACATCATTCTAGACTTAATTCAGTACGCTATGACAAAATTCGTGCAAATCAAAAGATTTCCAGGGGCCTTATTGGACTATTTACCTAAAATCGGGCGAAGCTATATCTAAATCGGAACCGATTTTCTCAAAAATTTTCACAAACCATTCTAGACTTAATTCAGTACGCTATAACAAAATTCGTGCAAATCAAAAGAATTCCAGGGACTTTAGTGGACTATTTACCTAAAATCGGGGGAAGCTATATATGGGAGCTATATCTAAATCTGAACCGATTTTCACGAAACTTTGCACTCATCATTCTAGACTTAATTTAGTACGCTGTGCCAAATTTCGTGCTAATCGAAAGATATATAGGGACTTTGCTACACAATTTACCTTAAATCGGACGAAGATATATATGGGAGATATATCTAAATCTGAACCGATTTTCGCGAAACTTTGCACACATCATTCGTGACCTTATTCATTACGCTGTGCCAAATTTCGTGCAATCGAAAGATATATAGGGACTTTAGTGTCATTTACCTTAAATCGGACGAAAATATATATGGGAGCTATATCTAAATCTGAACCGATTTTTCCAATTTCAATAGGGTTCGTCCTTGGGCCAAATAAATGAGCTGTGCCAAATGTCATCCAATTCGAATCAAAAATGCGACCTGTACTTTGTTAACAATTTAACATGGACAGACAGACGGACGGATATGCATAAATCGACTCAGAAAGTGATTCTATGCATATTCTCAAAAGGAACCATGGGTCTATCTCGATTATTTTTGCCTGTTACAAACATATGCACAAAGACATAATACCCTGTACCACAGTGTGGTGAAGGGTATAAACAGAAGGACAGACTAACATGTAGTTAGTCTGGTTGAAATGTTCGGCTAGGATCTTCACCATACGGAAAATGTTTTGTTTCCTCTATATGAACATTGCAAATGTTCTTCTGAAGAAGTTTTCTTATCACCAACCACACAGAATCCAAAATTGCTTGCAGCATCTTTGGCAAAGGCCATTAATAATTTCGTCTAGATAGACAAGCTGGACAGCAAGATATATTAATAAGGTCACCCAGCTAGCGAAAGTCAGCTGATTGACAATTTAAACGCATTGGATTAACAAAATCCAGTACAATGTAAACGTACTGTAATATAGAACAATTCCTATCAAAATTGCCACAGAAATAATGACACCAGTGAAAGGTGTAATCATGGCACAATAAATAGGTAGTCCCATGATTTATTTTTCAAGTTGATAGATGAGCTCAAATTAAAAAGCATTGCCATTGTCAAATGAGACCTTCTGTAATTATGCCATGACATAGCCTTTCATTATTTTTGTTATTTTTAATTATGTCAAATAAACACAACGACTTGTTGTGAATGTTTTTTCTTATATTTGACAGAACGAGCCACTAACTACATAGTTGCATTTTTGATTATTCACCTCAAGTTGTATTACCTTGTATTATTGTACCATGCGTATAGCGAACATGTATAAAGCATCTTATATGTTATCTTTATAAAGCATTTTATATGGTCTAAAATATTTTTGAAATGGGTATGATGACCCTATTGCTTACCTCCATGGGATTATCTGTACTTAAATTCATTGCAGCATTACTGGTATCAAAATCCACCGGCGTACCATTGACATTGCTTAATACCATTGACGGAGGACTCAAGTCATGTGCTTGGCGAGATGGCGATGGCGCAATCATATCAACAATTGCAATATTGAGATTAATGCATATTAAGTAATTTATGGCAAAGCCAACAAATACCACATGCCACAAAACCGTACGACATTGTACTGAAAAAATGTACACAGTTTGTTGGAGATTTATTCAAGATCAAATTTAAATCACTTTTAATAAATTTACCCATTTTTATATTTATTTATTTTAGATTGTATTTTGTTTTGATTTCTTTGGCTTCGATTTTCTTTTTCTTTGCTGATAATGTTTACAAACAAATCACCAGATCATGTTTTAGAATTGTTGGTTTTTTTTATGGTGTTCAGAGGTTAGCTACTTTTTTTTTAATAAAAATGCACTTGAGCTTGAGCAAACACGTTTCTTTTCGTAATTTAAAGCAATTATTTATTTTGTGTTCTATTTAATATATTATAATGTAAATTCCGTCATATATTATCGATGTTCAATGTTGGAGTTTTGTTCTCCAACTGATTTTGGATTTGCCATTAAAATAATGTGGGGCACAATTTGTATGTGAAAGATTAGTTGGTCTTCTGATAAGAAGTTTTTTATTTAATCAGAATAAATACATCGTAGTAGTATGACAAAAATAGAATAATGAATGGACTGGCATGGTATGGCTACTAAGAACACTGTGCTTAAGGGAACCCTCGATTTCTGATGAGCTTCAAATGAGCTTACAATGGGTTAAAGACTTGTAACTTTGCATACATGTATACATGAAAATAAATTGCCAATATTACTATTTTCGATGGCGGGCATGATTTCCGATCATTCAAATCTCAAAATTCCAACACTATTAGAAAGAGTACATATCAGGCAAAATGGAGGACCTAGGGAATAATCACGTGTTAAAATTTGGAACCGATTGGAATTATAGTTTTTGAGTTAATGTGCCCGCCATCCGTAAAAAGCAATGTTTTGAGAAAAACGCGTTTCATATGATGTTGACACAATAAATCGGCTATATCTTCAAGTGTAGTAGAGATTTTAACTTGCAAGTTTAAGGAGACATTTTTGAGAAGCTAGAATTTTCTACAACCGAGTATGGGGTTGGAGCCTTCCTTGGGAGGTATGTCGAAATATGGCGGTGAAGAAGAAACCACAAAACCAATATGAGACCAGTAAGGAAAGTAGTAAAGTCGGACTGGGCCGACTATATGATACCCTTCACCACTTTGGGTATATTCTACATATGTATCTTAACAGACGTCGCGTGTTTGTTATATATCTATATCTGAACCGATTTCAGGGAAACTTGCCAGAGATTAATTTATATTACTTCATTACGTTGTGTCAATCGGCCTAGCTATGGATCTTTTTACGAAGCTTAGCAACATCATTCTAGACTTAATTCAGTACGCTATGCCAAAATTCGTGCAAATCGAAAGATGTATAGGGGCTTTGGTACACAATTTACCATAAATCGGACGAAGATATATATTAATATATTAACGAAACTTAACACACATAATTCTAGACCTTAACACACAACATTCTAGACCTTATGTTTTACTCTGTGCCAAATTTCGTGCAAATCGAAAGATATATAAGGACTTTAGTGGACTATTTACCTAAAATCGGGCGAAGCTATATATGAGACCTATATCTAAATCTGAACCGATTTTCACGAAACTTTGCATCCATCATTCTAGACTTAATTCATTACGCTATGCCAAATTTCGTGCAAATCGAAAGATATATAGGGACTTTGGTACACCATTTACATAAAATCGGACGAAACTATATATGGGAGCTATATCTAAATCTGAACCGATTTTCAGGAAACTTAACACACATCATTCTATACCTCATTCATTACGCTGTACTAAATTTCGTGCAAATCGAAAGATATATAGGGACTTTGGTGCACCATTTACATAAAATCGGACGAAACTATATATGGGAGCTATATCTAAATCTGAACCGATTTTCATGAAACTCAGCACACATCATTCTATGCCTAATTCATTACTCTGTGCCAAATTTCGTGCAAATCGAAAGATATATAGGGACTTTGGTGCACCATTTACATAAAATCGGACGAAACTATATATGGGAGCTATATCTAAATCTGAACCGATTTTCATGAAACTCAGCACACATCATTCTATGCCTAATTCATTACTCTGTGCCAAATTTCGTGCAAATCGAAAGATATATAGGGACTTTGGTGCACCATTTACATTAAATCGGACGAAAATATATATGGGAGCTATATCTAAATCTGAACCGATTTTTCCCAATTTCAATAGGGTTCGTCCTTGGGCCAAATTTCATCCAAATCGGATCATAAATGCGACCTGTACTTTGTTCACAAAAATACATGGACGGACGGACAGACAGACGGACGGACATGCGTAAATCGACTCAGAAAGTGATTCTATGCGTATTCTCAAAAGGAACCATGTGTCTATCTCGTTTCCTTTTGCCTGTTACAAACATATGCACAAAGACATAATACCCTGTACCACAGTGTGGTGAATGGTATAATGACGGTATAGAGTGTATACCATCTACCCAAGATGAGGTCAGAATAGCAATCAATCGGCTGAAGACTAATAAAGCAGCAGGAGCCGATGAATTACCAATCGACCTATTCCACATCATGCACCAGCTGATTAGTACAATTTGGCCAGAGGAATGCATGCCCAATGATTGGTACCTCAGCCATACTGTGCCCCGTGCACAAAAAGGAAACAAGACGATATGTGGCAGCTATAGAGGAATTAGTCTTCTTCCCATTGCATATGAAGTGCTGTCAAATCCTGGAAAAGACCCACGAAAACACATCGAAATATTCCTCCTATTCATTTACTATAAAGTCTTGACGGGACTTATCGGAGCCCTTCAATATGAATGAGGATTCAGACAAGGTGACAGTTTGTCGTGTGATCTGTTTAACATTCTGCTGGAAGGTGAACAGAAATGGCACTCCATATAATGGGTCCAACATTGCTAGTGTTAACAGCCACCTTTGAACAAATTGAAAAGGAGTCTGCCAAATTGGGACTGGTAGTAAGAGACAGCTCTTGGAGTGGTTGCGAGGAAGATTCTCCGGAAGATCTAAGGGCCGATCTGCGTCGACGTCGAATGAACCATGTATTGTCGACATCGACAGACGGATCGAGCTGCAGAGACCGAGTTGGCTAGGTCATGTTGTGAGAATGGATGAGGATACCCCCACTCAAAAAGCATATAAAAGCGAGCCAAGTGATGGTTCACGCAGAATGGAAAGGCCACGAATTCGATGGAAAAATCAAGTAGAATACAACATCTCGGAGGATTCAGCTTGTCGTGTGACCTTATCCTGCTTTAAAAGGTCATACGAGATACAAAGCTGAATTGAAATGACACTTTGTACCCCAAACAACACATGTTAATCGCCTACGCCGATGACATCGACATTTATGAGTCGAATATTGCAAGCGGTAACATCCGCCTTTGAACAAATTAAGAAGGAGTCTTCCAAAGTGGTTCTGGCAGAAGACCAAGCTGATGGTATCAACGCGCAATACGTCCAGTAGGCTCGGACCAACTGTGGAACTTGAGAACTACAGCTTCGAGGTAGTTAAAGATTTTATATACCTCGGTAACGCCATAAACAAAACTAATGACATCAGTTTTGAAAATCGGAGAAGGATATGTTGGCCAACAGATACTACAATGATCTAAGTATGTAATTCAGAAACAAGGACACCTCCCGCCAGACCAAACTCACACTCTACAAGACGCTGATACTACCCGTGCTGTTATATGGATCTGAAGCATGGGTACTTGCGCAAGCAGATGATGCAGCTCTTGAAGTATTTGAGAGAAAAATTCTCAAAAAGATCTACTGTGGAACTTGAGAACTACAGCATCGAGGTAGTTAATGATTTTATATACCTCGGTAGCGCCATAAACAAAACTAATAACATCAGTTTTGAAATTCGGAGAAGGATATGTTGGCCAACAGATACTACAATGATCTAAGTATGCAATTCAGAAACAAGGTCATCCCCCGCCAGTCCAAGCTCACACTCTACAAGACGCTTATGCTACCCGTGCTGTTATATGGATCTGAAGCATGGGTACTTGAGCAAGCAGATGAGGCAGCTCTTGAAGTATTTAAGAGAACAATTCTCCGAAAGATCTATGGGCCTATCTGCGCTGATGGTGAATATCGTCGTCGAATGAACCATGAGTTGTATCATCTATTCTCGGACATCGGCATTGTCAGACGTATTGAGCTGCAGCGACTACGTTGGCTAGGTCATGTTGTGAGAATGGATAAAGATGCCCCAGTTCAAAAGGCATATAAAAGTGAATCACGCAGAAGGGGAAGACCACGAATAAGATTGAATTGGATCAAGTGGAAGACAATATTGCCGAACAGGCCATGTTCGGCACTATTGTCTTCCACTTGATCTTTCAAATTTCAAAATTTCAACTTCAAATTTGAAAACTGGCCAAAAAGACCGACGCGCCTGGAAATCTTTTTTAAGCTCGGCTTATGGAACGAATATTCTGTCACAAGCCAGCTAAGTAAGTAAGTATATATACAATTAGAACTAAATTTAATAAAGTTTAGTACTTTTCGGACACTAATAGGGCGAATTTCCAAAAACCCTTTTGGACATCTTTCTAACTTTCCATCATTGGCCCACATTCAAAGTTTCAGAATTCCCTTCTCTAGTTCGAATTTCCAAAAGCTCAGCCTAATCTCACGCCTATACACCAACAAGAACCCATACTTAAAATTTCTAGCTTCAGCCGTTTCGTCCGGGTGATGATCTTCTGCATCTCCATCCCAGTCAGATTCGCATTCATTAATGCATTTTGGTCAAGATTTGTTGACACTTCCAGACTACTTTTTTGCAATCAGCATTCCATAATTCAACCATTCGCTTTGCTTCAAATCCTAGACAGGAATTTATTTATGCTCTTACTTCTATGCTTCCCCACCCCCACTGCATGTGGGACCATGTGTAGGAATGTGCACCCACAATGTAAATATGTACATACTCGTACATCATTAATTAGAGGTGTTGTCACTGAGATTCGATGCGGTCCACTAAGTGATTCCATTAAAGAAAAAGCATATGAAGAGCGGACTAAATTTAGAGAATAGAATATTTTGAAAAATATAAAAAAATATAAAACTAATTGGAAGCCATTTGTTCTTCATTACTAACAAAATAAGTTAGTGGGAGAACCAGCCGAAAAAAAAAAATTATCAGTAGCTTATAGAGCTATAAATACCCTACGGATCAAAAAAACCCACACATATCTTTATACACATCATTTGTAATGACAAATAATGAAGAAGAACTGCAATACCATATAAAATCTTAACAATATTGTAAAAATGACACGAACTGCAAAAAAATCTGCCGCCATGAAAGTAAAATCAAAGAAGAAGAAATAAAGAAAAACCATGAAAAACATTGTAAATTCGCACAAATTGACGGTAACCTACCTTTAATGTTGGTGGACATTGTGTGATGGCCCCTCTCTTCTTCAGGCTATCCTATACATACATACATACTATGTATCCACATACATAGTTAAGTTTGTGTTATTTTTTTAGGTCTGAACTTGATATGCCATAACGTTTTTTATGGTTGATTCCTAACTAAGGTGTAGCTGCGGAACTGCATTGGCTCACATCGAAATAACAACAATAATCAAGCTATAAATATAGGTATACAGTATGTATGCGGCTATCATTCTGGACCAGCAAATGTAATGAATGCTGTTGAATGTGTCGCAGTTGTCATCATGGTCATTTTTATGACCCCAACCACAGACGAGGGTGGGTATGGGAAGGTACAGATGTAACACATATTCGTGTCGATTGGACTGATGTACCTTTTGTAATACATGATTTACACGAAATCGGACGAAATTATATATTTGTCAAATGAAACGTATATGGGAGTTATGATTTAATCAGAACCCACGTCATTCAGATGTCTCTACTGGGCAAATTTGTCCTTAATCGAAGGGAGTATCAAAGCGTCTTAGGCGCATAATTTACAATAAATCGGAGGGTAATATGAGAGCTATATCTAAATATGGACCAATTTTCAATACATTTCAATAAGGCTCGTCTGTGGCCAAAATAATTGGGCCATGCAAAAATTCAGCACAATTGATAATAATTTATTTTTTACATCTGGCTACATCGCGTTTATGTCGATCGCAGAGAACATTGTTAACACCATGAAGTGGACATTTAAAATACCTAAAATCGATCGGAGCATGCATAATTATTTTTCCTCAGTGAAAATGAAGTACAACATTTGCGGAAAGAAACATCGGCTGTCGAGTAATCACGTACCTGAAGTTGTTCGATCGTGTTTGGTTTGCTCCGCAAAAGAAACCGGGTCATTCAATTAGTTTCACAGTATCCTCCGCAAATTGTCGGTGAAGAAATCCAGAATGCGAAATCCCAACAGCCTTAGTGGAAACATTCGGCTAACATCTTTAAATTGCCAAAAGTAGGGTTTGACCTTCCCGTACTTGAAGCTGTTCGATTATGTTCGGTTCCGGGTCATTCAATTAGTTTCACAGTCTCTTCTGGTCTATGAACAAAACAAAATTGGTTGAGCATCAAGAAGTACAAAGCCGATATTATTGGCTTACAGGAAATGCGATGGAATGGGACAGACCATGAAACGAGACATGAATTTGGCTGCGGATTTATGGTTAACAGAAGAATAAAAGATCTCATCTCCAGATTCACTCCAGTAGATGAGCGAATTTCTATAATCCGTATAAAAGACAAATTCGTCTACATCAGTCCTATTTATGCCCATAATCCGACGGAGGACAAACATGAACGTACCAAAGACAAATCGCCCAGAAACGTACGACCGCTGCCCTGCCCATGACATTAAAATTCCCAATCAAACGACGAGAAATCAAATTGATCATGCTGTGATAGATGGAAGGCATTCATTTAGTGTTTTAGACGTTCGATCGATCCGAGGAGCGAATATGGATTCGCACCACTGCCTTGTAGCAGGCAAGGTTCGCACTCGCCTTAATATAGCAGCAAAGATGTGATCTAACCGAAGGCTTTGGTGCAGGTACATCGTCCTGTAGAGATGAAAATGGAAACCTGGTGACATATACGCAATCGGAGGAGCATTTTGGAAAATTTCTTGTATCAAATAGTGGTAGTGAAGAAGGTATACCAGAACCAATAAAAGATGACGGTATAGAGTATGTACCACCTAGTCAGATGAGGTCAGAGCAGCAATTAATCGTCTGAAGAACAATAAAGCAGCAGGTGCCAATGGGTTAGCAGCATGTACCAGCTGATTAGTACAATTTGGATAGAGAAATGCATGTCCAATGATTGCAACCTCAGCATCGTGTGTCTCGTGCACAAAAAAGGAGACATGACGATATGTGCCAACTATAGAGGAATAAGTCTCCTTCCCAACGCATAAAAAGAGCTATTCAGCGTGCTGCGTGAACGACTGAAGACAATGGTTAATGACATTATTGGTCCATACCAATGCGGCTTTAGGCCTGACACAGCGACACTATTCGTCGACTATAAAGCCGCATTCGACAGCCCTAACCGTTCAGCAGTGTTTAAAGCCATATCTCGATATTCCTGTAAAATTTATACGGCTATGCAGGATAACTTTAACTGCAACAAGGTCAGCAGTTAAAGTCGTTAAGGTTCTATCGGAACACTTCAATACCGAATGAGGATTCAGAAAAGGTGACAGTTTGTCGTATAACATTATCCTGCTTTAAAAGGTCATACGAGATACAAAGCTGAACCGAATGACACTCTGTACACCAAACAGCACATGTTACTAGCCAACTCCGATGACATCGACATAATGGGTCGAACATTGCGAGCGGTAACAGCCTCCTTTGAACATATTGAGAAAGAGTTTGCCAAAGTAGGACTGACAGTAAATGATAAGAAGACCAAGCTGATGGTATCAACGAGCAAGACGTCAAGTAGACTCGAACCAATTGTGGAACTTGAAAACTACAGCTTTGAGAAAGTCAACGATTTTATATACATCGGTACCGCTATAACTACAACTAATGACATCAGTTTTAAAATTTAGAGAAGTGTTGACCAACACATGAAGAAGGTCACCTCTCGTCAGACAGAATCAAATTTCTGTTCGAAATCTTAAGCGATTTTTTGAAATTTCTGTTCGAATTTAAATGTGACATAGAGTGACATTCGCACAGATTTCGGTCCAAAGTCTTATGGTTCATTATAATTTATACAACTAGAATTATATGTTACAAGTAGTTGTCAGCTGATTGTGCTTGTCCTTACTATATTAACTGATTACACTACCCCGCTCTGCTTGGTAGTATATTTTTATAACCACAGGCAATCAAGCAGTGAATTCTTTTTTTTTTGCAGTTATCGGTCACTAATTTTATTTCTCCGTTTCTTTTTTGAAGGTAATTTGTTGTTGAAGACACTTTCATAGGATGTAATCAAAAAGTAACAAAAACAACAACACAAAGAATTGTAACGATACTGAAACACAGCAACTCTTGTGGACTGCATTGACATTGCTTGGAAATATGGATACCAAGCCCGGGCCGCTAAATTAAAATGCGTAGCCATAAAGCATTGATTCTGTCATGGCTTGGCAATTGCTGTTTGGCTTATGCATTAATTACCATTAATATTTTGATGGAGCGGCAGGCTGAGCTCCACTATGCCATTCCACGGTGGTTGTGTTCTTGTAACCCGTAAAGAAAAAACCCAACCATTCGCTGAGAGCGGCATTGGCCATCTTTGAGGATCATTTATCAATAATTACCTTTGTATGGATGATGGCAAGCAGCAGGATATTTTCGGGTTCATTTCAATCGTCTTTCGTCGTTTATTTGAGAAGGCGAATAAACGAAAGAATTGGAAATCCATGGCCATCATCATCAATGACGGATGGATGGATGGCTGAACAGACAATGTGGAAGCATATTTTTTTCAAAATATTCTTGAATTTTTACGAATTTGATTAAAAGCCTACGGGCAAACTGCTCTAAATTTAGTTACCAATTTGCTGTTCAAAGCATTTGATTTGTATGCTAACCTTGATGGGTGACTTTCGGTATGGGCTTGAAAAATTAGCATTTTTTTCTGAATACAGCTTTCAAAATTCTTGCATTGATCATTAAAAGTGTTGGGCATTGCATGCTAATATTGTAGAATAGAGCTCAGAAAAAAAAACAACATTTGATTTACTTCAAACTGCAATTAATTATTATTTATTAGATTTTTTTTATGTGGAGCATGGTTTAAAGTTATGACCAACCTTGGGCACGTGAAACTATTCGAAAGAAATTTTAGTATGCATACAGTCCTATATACACCTTGATATAACGATCAAGGTCCCAACAACTAGAAGAACTCCACAGATAATTTCGTGATCGATATTTTATCTCCCAAAAATACTGAATATTGGTCGTAATATGAAAAATGGCAGAATATGAAAATGCTCTTCGAAAAAAAACACTACCAAAAATAATAATAAAAAAAAACATTAAGGAAAATAGTAAAGTCGGACTGGACCGACTATATCCTAACAATTTCATGTCAATGTAAATCGATTTAAAGCAAACTTAATACATGCTACTCGGTATGCCGCACTTTTCAAAATTTAATCTCCATCAGGTAAAATCGGACGAAAAAAGGCCAGAGACAAAATTGTGTGTCAATCGGACCAACTTTGGGTCTTTGGTGCACATTTTACATTAAAACTGACGGAAATGTATATGGGAGCTATATATAAATCTGAAATCTATGCCAAATGTTGTGCAAATCGAAAGCTATATAGGGACGTTTGTGCGCCATTTACCTTAAATTTGAAAACCCCAAAACCGATATTGATAACGCATGGTACAGTATAAAATCCTCAAACTGCTGCAATTCAAATCGCAAATTTATATGAGGTATCATTATATGGAGACTAGACCTAACTGCGGGCCGGCATAGTTCATTCTCGAACTTCTGCAGGTAGAATGATTACAAAAATGTGTTAGAATCAAACCGAATGCGTGGAACAAATCAGATAACTATTTTAATATAAACAAGTGAAAAAGCGTTAAGTTCGGCCGGTCCGAACTTTGGATACCCTCCACCATAGATATACTGACAGGTACTTGAAATGAAAATATAGGGAAAATACCAAAAAGTGGACCTATATCGATAGTTCCACAAACCGGTTATGTAAACCACAATGTAAACTATACAACAAATTTCAGAAATTTTAATGGGCAATTATACCCTCAGATTTATGGATAGTGACACGGTTAAGATGGTTCTAGACACCATGTTTCTTTGAACCAAATTTGTTTCAGATTTCATCCAAACATTGGCCATCTTATTATTTCTACCAAACTTAGTTCAAGTTCGAAGATGGGGAATATCAGTCCACTTCTTCTGGTACCTCCCACACAGGGGCTAGGTCTAAATATGGGTTATAGTTCATATAAA